CAGTCGTCTGGATCGGTTGATGGGTACTGGTACTTCGGCAGCAGTTGATATTTGATTTACATGTCCAAACACAGAGTACAACTGCTATCAACGCAGTTATTGCCGCAGTTGTCATGGCAACAATAGCTATTGTTTCTGTGGATTCAGGTGATAAGCTAGAGTGAGAGATCATAAGATCTGCTTCAGCTGATTGTAGCTGCTTCATGATGCTATCCACATCTAAAACAAATAACATTAATTAACAATAAAATATACTCTATAAAACTAAAAGTAAACACAACATATAGCACCCTTTTTTCCAAAATCGTGCCCCGCGATTACAATATACTATTATAATATAAATAATACTTAATATCTTCAAACCTAAAAAAACATATAAAATAATAAATACATATCCTAATTGTGAATAAAATAATTTATGTAATAAAAGTTACATTTATTACTCGTAGTCTCTTCTATTAGAAGTAGGGCTTCACGTCGAGGAATAGTGGGAGGAGATAGGACTAGTAGCAAGTAGGATAATGAAGAGCCATGTTCAGCTGGTCTAGTCAGCAGTACTGCTTACGAAGTAACTGCGGTCGTTTGTACTTTGTCGGGTCGGTTAAATTGTCGTCTGAAACTATATTTATATCTTAAAACACAATACAACAGATCTGACACTTCTAGCTCAATTACCTTCCTTCCATGTTGACGTGTATGTTGCTGCATTCAATGAGGCATGTGGCTAAAGCTCGTGGTACTGGGTGTTGCGGAATAGGCTAAACTAACGTGTCACCACCATATTTCTCTTGTCATACGTTGTATGACCCGCCGCGCACGAAGTGCGCGGCTCCCCTTGTATCGTCGAAGCGACAGTGGGGGTCACCACGTGATTCAATATTTCTCCACGCCGCGCGTAGTATTTTGAAAAATATTCCCACTGTCCATGAAAGCTTAGACTTTTAACTTTACGTTGTCGCTGCGCGCTACATCTTCAGTAATCAGTAATATAAAATAAATTATCAGTAGATGTTTTCTTCTCAAAACTGTGATTATGTCGCTTTTCGAAACTATGGTTATGCGGACAAATTTGATCATAAATATTGCAAAAAGGTTTAGGTAGGTGCGTGCGCGAGTTTACATAAATAAACAATTACTGGGCCGCGCTCAGCCTGTCATTCCGCCAAATCTTTATTCTGTTAATGAACATAACAGCCTGGGGTCCTCAGGTAAATAAACAATAGTGTCTGGAGTAGTGAAATCAATTTTGATTGACGATGTCAATTTATCGCAGCTCGGTGCGGCACAGTAGCGCATTTCGCCGATCTCCCGCTGTGAGTAACCTCATTGAGTGCGCGGCGCAGCACAGTAACGCATCGCGCTACAACATACAAAGTCAATCAACATGTCGATGTTGCACGTGTTGTAAAATATGTGCGCATCTAACAGCTAGCTGCATGTTTTAAATTCTGTGGAATGTGGTTGCTTTGCTGCGCGAGAGTTGGTTTCGTTTACAATACACGTCAATGGATCAATCCGAATTTATTACTTTTTGCAACATAGCTAGATGTCCGAGTCTTTGTTAATAATTTACTGAACCAAAATAAAAGATAAATATATCCATTTATATTTGTTAATATTATATTAGTATCATTATTATGGAAAGGGGCGAATTATTTTTATTATCTTGAAAGTTGCTGTTGCATTGTAACTTGACATTTGAAATAATTTGTATTCCTTTTATTCCTTGTATTCGTTGTATATATTTTTGCAGACACAAAAAAAGTTCGACTCAAACCTTTTAACATGGTTATACTTTTACTCAAATTAAGTCGGTATATAGTTCTGTGAAATCTGGTTTATTTATTGCCGGTGGATCGGTCTTTCTATGCAGTTCTTTAACTGGTTTCATGGTACACCGTAGTTACTAACTGCAAGTGATGAATCTAGGAGTAAAGTTCCGAGCCAATTTCTCCATTAAAAGTTTGAAAAAGTGACCTCTTCAACTGTAGAACTGACTTATTAATCCTAGCAGGTGATTAACTCTGGATCCTCATCACATTGATTCCATTCTAAATTGATCTAACCATAAACAAAACAAAAATAACAGATAACTCCGTTTACCATTTGACATGTTCCAGTGTGAACGAGGCCTTCTCCGGACAAATCCTTAAAGGCAAGTCTTCTCTGTTGTATGTAAGATATTTGTAGTATAGTTTGTAGTGTATTTTATTATAGTTTAGACAACATTTTTTAAACAGACTCTCAACACTCAAGGTTGGCAGTTACTTCACAAGCAGTTCTGTCGATCAGACCACGCGATTAGACCACGTGGTTATTAGTTGTAGCGCGATGCACTACTGGGTCGCGCGCGCATCCAATAATGCTTCTCGCAACCAGATCGGCGAGATGCGAAGGATTGACATCGTGAATCAAGGTTAGTAGTAATTGTTGTATTGTGTATACGTAGCTGTTGCGATAGTGATTTTGTAATTATTAAAACAAGTTGTAATATCGACGACTTCAGTTCTACTTTAGCTGTAATTAAATCGTTTCACTTTGTCCAACAAACAAACTCATTGTGCGTTCACTATACTCACAAGAAGTGAACACAACATTCTCTAGCTGAAGTCCGAACAGTATAATTTATTTAATAAAGTGTATTACTAAGGTGCTCTGCTGATAATTGTAGTAAAGTAATTATTAACGGGTGATACGATCGTAAAATATTTGTTCCATATATTAGGACCGTCGACGAGTCCAACTCGGCGCGCGTCCTGGTAGGTTGTAGGTTGTAAACCTACAAATGACAAAGTAATTAATAAATGCCAAAAAAATGACCTGTGACGAGGCTCGAACCGGCATGAGCTTTTTGACAATGGCGGCCTTAACCGCCGTGCTACGAGAGGCTCAGCAGATTTACAATATGTAAGTGTAAGACTATAAACTTCATAAAAATACGCGCACGCACGTAACTTTTCGTTATTTATGGATCCGAATAATATGACATATTTACAATTCTGAGAAATAAACCTCGCGCGACATAAAACGACATAATGACAATTTCGCCCACAATTTGCTAGAACACCTCCTCTAAATTATTCTTCTTATCTCGATGCCTCAATATTATAAATTGACGAAGCCATGCGATGCTGGAGATATAGCCTCCCCAAGCAGCAGGAAAGTTAACTGGCTAGAAATACATAGCCTCAATGAATTTAATCTGCAAGCAACCGCTTTCAGAAGCTCTGCTGATCATTTGGGAGAAATCCTTCAGAAATGGTAAAGTTCCTTCAGTCTATAAGGAACTGTAAATATATATAATACATGTTTAAAAAGGAAACAAGACTGACCCGGGAAATTATAGACCTGTGTTTTAAATTGAGAGGGTACTATGAAAGAACATAGTAGAGCACTTAGAGTACGTGAAATATTCGAAGCTGAGCAGCTTTCAATATCACGGCAGACAAGGCGCGTCAGATGGCATCTTGGCATTGGGTTCTTGTTACTGGGCCGCGCTCAGCCTGTCATTCCGCCGAATATGTTTATGAATATGTTTATGAACATAATAGCCTGAGGTCCCCGGGTAAGGTTCTTGGAATGTTCAAATGCAGGACAAAACCTGTTATGCTCCAGCTCTACTAAGCCCTGATTAGGTCCAGACTCCAGAGTGGAGTACTGATGCCCGCTCTGGAATCCAAACAAGACCTATGATATCCAGTCTATCGGTATCAAGAGCATAAAACATCAGTTCACTAGACAGATTCTAGGGTTCAGACTTCAAAGACTAAAGGAACTGAAACTTACATCTCTGTAATGTACTGTACATCTCTGCGATGGCGCCGAGAAGGCGAGAACGCTACACTATCGAGAACGCTACACTATCATACATCTGTGGAAAGTTCTCCAGGGTATATTTCCAAACGATCTAGATATACAGTTCAGAGAGAATGCGAGACTATGAGTTAAGGTAATACTCCCTTCTCTCACAACAAAGCATTAGCTCCGGCACGCTGTGCCTGCAACTACTCTGAATTCGCAGTGATGGCTGGAAGACTCTGGAATGATCTCCCTAAAATTGTCAATACTCAAAAGACTGTGGCAAGTTTCAAGACATTTCTCGGAAAATTCCTAGAAGCCCCATATTCCTGGATACAGTACAGAAAACTCAAACTCGATAACCCAGTGGTGCAGTCAAGGAGGTGGTCCGCAGATTACGTGATGATGCCTACTTCTAAACTTCACAATACGTTCTATTTTAAATGTTACCTCTAATCATGATTGGCCCCTGATCTGGATCTGACACTTCCAGCTCAATTACCTTCCTTCCATGTTGACAAATGACGTGTATGTTGCTGCATTCAGTGAGGCATGTGGCTAAAGCTCGTGGGTGTTGTGGAAAAGGCTAAACTAACGTGTCACCACCAGATTTCTCCACGCCGCGCGGAGTATTTTGAAAAATATTCCCACGGTCCATGAAATCTTAGACTTTTGACTCTACCTTGTCGCTGCGCGCTACATCTTCAGTAACACAAAATAAATGACTATAAATTGATGAAGCCATGCCATGCTAGAAATAAAAAGTGAAGTATTTTCATTGCGAAAATGAGAATTAGTTACAAACAGAAGGGTTCTCTCAAGTCAATAACTATCAGTTTAATAGGACCAGCTTTTTACTTATTTGACCTTACTTGGACACGTTCATAAATAAATACTGTCACATAATCTGTTTGAACTTTTTTAGGGACCAGTTCATCTAAACCATTTTCGGGCCCCAGCAGGTACCCTGGCCTTTCTCAGTGTACTTCTGGTTTATCTCTCAATATAAAATGTGGAGAATAGAAGAATAAAACTGTGGAGGGACCACTTTGTTCGCAATCATTTTAAAATATACCTGAAGAATGTAAGGATGGTGTAGTGAAATGAATAGTGAGAGTGGTGATTCATATTACTATATTGCTCATTCCCATCGCCCACTATCCAATGTCCAGTAACGTTAGATCTACAAAGTAATGAAGCAGCTTATTTCATTTTAAGCGTGAAACTTCGACGTCTTAATTGATACAGCGGAATAGCAAAGATAAAAACGTAACAATAAATAATTTCAAAACTCTGTAAAGTGTAAACACTATAATGGACTCGGATGTAACCATAAGATGACACCAAATGAAAAGCTCGAATAGGTAAAAAGAGCTCCAATCCCAAAATTCTATCAATAAACTTGATAAACAGTAAATAATGGTCTGAAGATATATATATATATTTATATGATAAACTCCTATCAAATCACAGCGAAAACACTCGGTGAATGTTTCTAAGATTCGGGGGAATGTTGAAGAAAAGCAGATCTTGTGGTTTTACAGCTCCTCCCTTAGGACATTGCCGCCACCAAACGCAAGAACAGAGTTTTCTTTCATAAACTTCTTCAGATCTTCAACCTGAAATTAACATTATTTGTTATTTTTGAATTGTGTTAACATAAATCAGTTATACATTTATTTGTGCTAGACCCTTACTTTAGTGGCAAGTTTAAAGCATGTTCACATATTATCAAGAGGCCGCACTTTGGTATGTTTTAAGGGATAACCCACTCTACAGCTCTGCAATCTACATATTATTATAATAGCTATTGTGTAGAGATTACGCTGATTTTCCAACCCCCTCTCCCCCTCTAAGGTTGACTCACGTTATATGTAATAATCCTTATATTGCTTCGATATATTTTGACATTCAACGAAAACCTTGTTACCAATTCGAAGTTGTGATTTGGTTAAAATAGATAAATTTCAATTGAATTTTACCACTGATATTTTCAGGCAGTGCTGATATTGCTGGTGGTACACGCGAAGGAGGAACCCAAAAAGGTACTAATCATGTGGCAATTAAAGCATTTATTGCAATTAACACTGATGGTGGAGAGACAGCTGACAAATCACCATTTAAGTGACGTGCACGAAAGATATATTTCACCTACAGTACTTTAGTAAGTGCGTCTCGACATCTTTAACCAATACAATATAGCACATGTAATAAAGATAGTACACAATAATATTACCGATGAGAAAGTCATTGAGAGGACCTGTATTTCTAAAAAGCAAACATACCTCTCTTGCACCATCGTACACAATAGGTTCCTTATCTCCACCGGCTGGTACGAAGTAGATTGTTGGGAACCCCTTCACGTTAAACTCGCTTGGTACGTCGTTCGCTGTAGAGTCTACCTTCGCTATCACTAGGTTCTTATCAGCTGCAGGTGGCAGTTTTTTAGATATGATTTGTATATATACATTAATGTATTGTAGTTATATGGAATTTTAGAGAAAGTAGGGTATACAAGAAGGAAAATTAAAATTTTGTAAAACATGGCCGCATTGTCGAATAGAAAGTGCATGCAGTGAGTGCATTGATGTTCGTTTAATACAATTTAATTCCTTACATTTGAGTTCCTTAGCAAGTTGGTTGAATTTAGGTTCAAGCTGTTTGCAATGTCCGCACCAAGGAGCATAGAACTCTATCAGGACATCCCGAGTAGGATCCTTGACAATCTTATCAAATGTGCTCCCAACCACAACTGTTACTGCTCCGGACTGTTTCTTCGGGACTGGCGCACTCTTTCTTCTCGGCTGAGGGAAAAGGCAACGTTAGAGTAACTTCATCATCCAATTTGGTCGTTCAAAATGCACATCGGCAGTGCAAAAAACAAATGTTGTCTATTACAGTTCTTACAATATGTTCTGACAATAAAGCTCAGGGGGTTAAACCCAATAGTGAAAAGTTGGCCACAGTAAAGTTAAAGTGATTGAAATCTGTGAACTTGGAACTTTCCATGACCGGGCAAATTTTGTTCCCCGAAACCCTCACTTTCTTGGAATGGAAAAGAGCGAGGTATAAAAATCAAATGAGATCACGTTAATATTCAAGCGAATAGCGTTATTGAGTAGCAAAATACGTTATGCAATTCTGTGTGTGTACATTTTCTGAGAAATTTGAGTCCAGGTAGCTCTTGATAAATCGGAAGAGAAAATTCACTTCCTATTGTGGTAGCCCTGCCTTTACTATGGAGATTGGAGTCTCTTTAACTTTACTCCAGTTGGGTTACAATTTCGCATGATCTACCTTCCCTGCTTGTGCTGTCGCTTGTTAGTGTAATATGTTATGTACCATTGGTCACTCAAGTCTCAACACTGCACTGTAAATGAATTTAGCTGGACACAAACTAACAAGTACACATATCTACAGTTCAATGCTAGTTTTCATGGTATCATTGTTGCTTGATTAATCAGATCTGTTTACAGTTGCCCGGTGCCCCTCCCTAATGCTTACCTGTTTACCAAGATGTGACTTACAAGCAATTAATCTACAGTCGGATTATTTTGGCGAAGAAAGATTTTGTCTGTGTGTAAAAGTTGGTGTAAGTGCATTAATTTTCTGCATAGTTGAGTTCAAAGCAGGCAGTTAAGTTTATGTTTTGTTGATCTTATTGACGAGTTTTTAAATGATACCGAAAGAAATTCTTCGCCGTTTTTCGGCATAATTTCAATTTCTGCAAAAATATCCATGAAAATGTCAGATATACAATACCTCGCAGTGAAGAAGCCACCCATATTTGATTAATTTCTGAGCAGAGTCGTATTACACATGTATGAAGTATGATGTATGATGTATGGTTAGAGATAACGTGTAATGCAATGACTTTATCCCCTCTTCTCCCCACTACAAACCTATATTTCTGTCACCGCAATATCAAATTCACAATTATCTGTACCTACACTTTGGCTTGATATCTTGAAGCACGTGCCTTTTACTGGGGTCTAGTGTTTTATTTTAGCAACTACAGGGTTTTATCCGTTTATCTTAAATCTGATGTTATTCCTTTGGTTTTTCAAACTTGTAATCACATTCTCAATCCAGTAAATTATATTATTCATTTTACGCTTCAATTAATGTAAATTAATCCTGTGTTGTGAATAGATACATCTACAAATTCTACATCTTATAGAACAACAAAGACGTGAAATCTTGAAACCACCTGGGTGCATGTATTCAGAATATTGCCTTTCATATCTATTGTTTACTAAACAGATTTTTAGTTAAAACCAGTTTCATTTTTCGTGTAGCTTTATCACACCTTCTGTTCGTTGCGAATCAGACCTCTGTAGTTTGTATACTGTATAATAACAATGAATAACCTTATGCTAGTGGAGATCCGGCGAGTTACCATGTTCAGAGACAAGCGAGTTCTTAACGTTCTGCTGAATGGCTTCGGAGTTATGATGGTTTACGCTGGCATGATGGGAGGGGCTATGGTCATGGTGAGTGCATCAAACTTTGTACATTTTACTTAGTGGAAAAGAAATAAATACTCAAATCCTTATTTATATACAACTTTCATATTGTACATTAAATTCATATTTGCAACAAATGCAAAACTGATTGAATAATACACTCCATTACATTTTAAGAATATGTACATAATCCTCATACAAATTTCAGCCGAAGATATTCAAAGACATGAAAGGAGCGAGAGGGTTGACGGAGAACAGTGCCTTCTACGGTCTGATCATCAGCAACACAGCAGTGGTGTTCTTTGCACCCCTGACACCCTCCCTGTCACGCCTCCTCGGTACTCGCACTTCCATTATCATCTCAGTTGTACTTTGTGGCACTATCAACAACGCTCTGTTCTACCCTACTGAATACCTCATGTACGGTGCGTTTTTCCTGAATGGTTTAGGATGTGCGTTGCTGAGAGTTGCTGCGCTCGCCTACATGACCAAGAACTCAACAAGAATAACTTTGTCCACGAACAACTCCATCCACTGGATGATGCTAACGGTGGGGCTCATGTTGGGTAACCTGACTGTTATGTTGGTCAACATTGAGACAACGGAGATAGACAATGACAAGAGGTATACAATCGCTATAGTAACCTCCTCGCTCTGCCTCCTGGCTATACCCGGCTACTTCTTCACAAAGTCTATCCCTAGCAACTATGACGATATGTTGGCTGCAGAAGAGCGGGAACATATCCACGCTCAGACTAAGAGATCACCAACAGAAGCAACCAGTTTCACTTCCTTCCCTCACCACGGTACTTCATTGTCAACAGACTACAGTCCCATAATAGAGGAGGATCCGGGAGAGAGAGGGGTGGCGAGGGTTCTGGTGGGTATGTACCACGTGATGTTGAGAAACGAAACACTCTGGCTACTTGCCCCCATGTTCGCAGCTGGGGTCTACAACTCAGCCTACTCCCCCATAATACCTGTTGCAGTGTGCAACGTGGCTGGAAAGCCCTGGCTGGTATCTGCGTTTGGGATCCTAGCCGGGTTAGGACAATTAGCAGGGGCCTTCCTTACAGGGCAGGCTATCGACAAGGTCAGTGTCAGGAAGATCGGGAGCGTCGTGACCGCCTTTGCAGTTCTGAGTTTCGCTATGGTTGGACTTATTGTGGAGATGGGATTCTCCGACAGGTGGACTCAGTGGAGATCAATGTCTGAGAGTATAATCTTACTCCTAGCGTTCTTCATAGGAGCATGTGATATGTCCAACAATGTGTGTTTATCAGTTGCAATAGGCCGGCTCTTCAACGGAAACTCAGACTCAGCGTTCAGCTTGTTTGTAACAGTGATGAGCTTTAGTATGATCACGTGGTACTTGTTTCAGACCATTATTCATTCTCATTTGTACATTATTCTCTTCCTCTACTCGATTGTGTCTATTGCTGCTGCCTTCTCCTTTGGCTCAATGAAATTTAATGATTGAGTTTGTAGTTAACGAATGTTTGAGATCTATAATTTACATCTAGAACCACTCACACTGTTATTAATTAGGCTGTTTGATAAAATTTTGATCATGTTTTCATTTGACCCAGTGGAAGTTTCTGATTTTATTTCATTAACCTTCATAATAAAATTCTTATTTCTTTAAGTTCCTGATTATTTTTGTATGTTGTTTTTTCTTCTTTTTGATTGTAATATTATGTAACATTGTTTCGAACATTGTCACCAGGATCATCAAATCGGTAAGATGACATTAGCATTGAGCAAAAAAAGTATAACGCTTATATAGTATTATCAATATTTCTTCAGAATTACTGAAAGCTGTAATTGTGACATTATTTACATATAGTTTACTTATTAAGTGAACACTGAACATGTATGATGATTGATGTTATTTTTGTTTTCATTTTAATAATAAAATAGGCAAAGCGTCCTTTTTCGTACCGTGACAATAAAAATTTACAAAGCACCGATATGTTCAAACGAAGATTCTAGAGATCAAATTCGTAATGTTTACCATCCTCTCGTTTTCAACGGAATTTATGACTTCGCAAAGTGAAAGGGAATTCAAATTATCGGTTATCCGACAGAACCTTTAAAAAGCTCATCTAATTAAGAATAGAAAATAACGTGCAAGTCTTACACTCTAAAATTCTCTAACTCGTTAAACTCTGCTTACCTGGAGTTCCCCAGAAAGGTACTGCTCGACAAACTCTGTGAGTGTTTCCACGAAATCGTCCATATCGTCCAGTTCATCCTCACTGGGGCTGTACTTATCTCCTTTAGCTGTCTTTATACCAAACACTGTTTCCTGGCATTTATTCGTTGTTAATATGGAATTTTATTATGAATTGCTGAGAAGCTCCAACGGAAAGGTAGAAGTTTAGTCTAGACACAAGTTTTAAAGTTTCATGGAACAAGCAGAAGTTCTAATTTTTGAGGCTCTTCAATTTCATTATGATAACGAAATTGCTGTGCAGTTTACAAGTACCAATACATTATCCAAACTGAATTCAACATTAAATATAAATTGAGCTCCGCGAAATTAGAAAGTAAAGAAATGACTCACGACTCCAAGATCGGTAAGTTTCATGGCGGCCATATCAGCACTCTGCTTGCCTTCATCAGCCATCACAAAGTGAAGTCCTTTACCAGCAAACTTGCGTGCCACTGTGGCTGTCTTCTCTTGCCAGTATTTCGTATCTGAAAAGGAAAAGTTGAGAAATTTGGGCAAATTTGAGATTTCATAGTTTTGATCCGCTTGTCAGATCGGATGCTGAATTTCTGGTTATTTATAGTTCACTTGTAAGGCTTCATTTACAATGTTGAAGGTGACATTTTTAACATGAAACAGACATCATTTAGATTGATCATCTTACATAGTTTTGAAGAGAAACGCTAATTTTGAATATTTAAGACATTCGGAAATAAAAGAACATATAAAAACAAGCTTCTACCTCACGTTTCCAGCTAAAACTCACGTTTTTAACAGCTCAAAAATTGTTACATCTTGATAAAAACTGTAATGCACAAACATATACAGCTCACTTATCCCACATTTAGCATCGCACAAACTAGTGAGTAGCAACAAAGTTGTTAAAACAATTACTGTATGATCAACATTGTTGAATTAAATCTGTAGTTGCGCAAGGTGGGTGAAAAAAGCAACGTTAAAGGCAATATAAGATTCACAAAAGGCCAAGGGTAAGTATTGTTGTATCTATATTCTAGTACTTCTACTGAAAACACATTCAGATGTATTTGTACAGATACAGATAGTTGTAAGTTCTGATGATGTTTAAATTTCCGCCGTTAAGGAATATCAATAGTTTCATTAGACTGTAACATACATTTTTGTTGATCAATCAATATCCCATCCTCCTGGACGCACCACATTTTTACTCGTCTACTCTTGGTAACTGTTTCCCCACATTAACCGAATTGTACGTGACAGATGTTGTTGGGGACACTGACAGGCCCGTACTAGGAGCAACTGCCAGATTAACATTCCTTAGCGCTAACACAGGAGCTCCCTCCTCCGCCCTACTCTTCCTCCTCACAACATTCCTGACATATTTCCTGTACCCTGCCATCCTCCAAAAATACATGAGAGGGTTTAGGAAACTGTTGAGACAGATACACAGGTAGAAGACAATGAAGTAGCAGTAGTTGTTGATACCGGGGTTATCGGTTAGACTTGCCGTGTTGTAAACATGAACAGTAACTTCAGTAGCGGTGTCACGTGACAAGGTAATGTTGAGGATGATGCCCCCGAACACGGTCAGTGAAAAGGGGACGTTGAGCACCACGTAGAGTAACGTTACCGTGATGACGGTGAGTGTAGCGTTGTACTGCTGATGAGCGGAGGTGTTCAGGTTGTTTCCAGCGATGATTGCAGAGCGACGCAGGTAGATTAAGGACAGGACAGCAGCCACTGCGATAGGAATGATAGAGAGTCCTGGGAGGCAAGAGAATATAATGGTGATAAGTAGACCACGTCTAACATCGCCAGGCTGGACCAGGTCTGTAGTGTTGGTGTCCTGATGGAAGACACTGGGAGAGCAGGATATCCACTCTGGACGGTAGACCATGTTGAGAGTTTTGGAGAATAGCAAGGAGAGTATGAGAGTCAGTACACCGGCTGAGTAGACACCAGGAAGCCACCACGCCAGATTAGGGTTTAATCTCATGGTAGGGAGCATTAGAAGGAGGAGGCGACTCACACTTAGCACTGCTAACAGGAAGATTGACATGATGGGTAGGTAGGTCCATAGTATGCCCCAACTCTCACAAAACCAAGGAATTCCAAATATTTGCCCACGCCTCTGAGGTAGAAACGCTGCCTCGATCATAGGGAAGAGAGTTACACAGATGGTGAGGTCTACCGTACAGATGAGCATGTAGAGACGTTGGAAGAAGATTTTGTTCTTGTTGCGAACAGATTCGTTCCGGAAGTAAAGCAGAGAAAAGAGATTAGTGATACTTCCAAGGAGTGAGATTGTGGAGAGTATTCCACCTAAACACAGGTCTGCTGTCCGGAACATGATGCCTCTTTACTCTAGCTGAGAGGAATGGATTTAACAAAACGAGAAGTTTCATGGATATTATATAATGAACACTAGTGTAACCCGTGCCTTCGGCAGGGACCTCAATGACAGTTGACTTGCACCGTTTTCTTGATTAAGCCGCTCGGAAATTACAAACACACACACACACAAAAAATCACGTTACAAAATTAAAACAACAACAAGATACAAGGGCTGGTCTCTCCCGAACGTTGGGATGGCCTGGCCTGAGGTGCTTATCTCCTTTTCAGTAACCCTAAGCCACTCTGTGCCGAGGCACTATACTAGCTGTTAGTCCTACGAGCCAGAGAGAAGCTGTACCATATCAGAGCTTGGTAACTGGCCGACTTGCATCCGACCGGATTTGAACCCGGGTCTTCTGCTTGGGAGGCGATCGTGTTACCACTACACCTCCTGCCTTGTTTTAAGTTCATAAAAATAGAAATTAAAACAAGGCAGGAGCTTATAAATTAATAAGGTAATGATGTTAGAAAGTCCCACAACCCCTCCAGTAAGGTGTCAGGAGGATCAGGGCCAGTTCACGTCTCACTAAAACTGTAACATTAGCACCCTGGCTTGATTGCCGGCTCCCATTAATTCAACCCCCGTTTTGGTAATCGTGAGTGCATTGGTACAGCAAAATGTTTTTAACATGCCGTATATTTTTTCAACATGCCATATGGAACAAGAACTCTAAAATTTAAATCGAAACTAATATAATATAATGTAAAGTAATATAATGTACGTTAACAAATTTCAGTGACCCTGGGTCAATAGAGAAACAAAACGTAAAAACTCTTTTTTTTTTAATTAGCAAATTCTGAAATTTCCCACCAATATCAAGCTGCTCAAAAAAACCACTCAAAAATTGAGAAGCACTTTTAACACATTTATGACAAATTTTGGCATTTTAAGCGTTTCAAATGGGGTTTCTTGGGGCCAGTTATTGCATTGGTTTAAATGGTTTCTGATGGTTTTCAGGGATAGTTTTTGGTTAAAGAATTCAGAATGACCAAAATAGTCTTTAAGCACATTTGTCAGAAAACGGCAGAGAGAGAGTCTCAATTGCCTCGAGAATTTTATTCTGCTAGTATAAGTAAAGTTGGGAACAAGTAGTGTGTATTTTCTTAATACAAGTGACTAAGTTCACCCAATCAGCTACGAGCAGTCAAATCACCAAATCGCTGTCACAAACTCCGGGAATAATAGCTGCACTGAGCTTGCGTGTGTCTTGAGGACACATATTATCAAACGCCTGTTGAGTCGCCTTGATGAGCAGCGCGTGATCAAACAGATATCATGGTCACGTGGGGTGACAAATAACAGGTTTGCAGTTTGACAATTTACGGCATGACAAATCAGTATCACAAATTGACCTTTGATCTGTACGTGGTCTCGGTTCAAAGACAAATAACTCGTGAATTTGGATTGATCACTCAATCAGATCAAAGCAAAATATCTATCAATTTGATGAGTTTGGTAGGTGTTCATGAAATTTAACGTGGTTGTGTGGTAAAAGCTTTAAGGGTCACGAGTAATACCAGTTTTACGACACATGTTTAGTGCACTTCAACAGTTTAATTATAGTATGTAATAATGATATAATAATTTAGTCAAAGTTTAAACTTATTGTCTACTTACTGAGTTACTGTAAAATGGGGGGGAATGCAACGTCAATTAATGTCAATTAATGTCTATTAATGTCAATTAATGTCAATGTCAGTATTGCAAAATTTTGGAATACTGACATTAATTGACACGATATTTTTCGACCAGAGATTATGTAGTTCTACCATATTTTTAGCACTTAAGAACGTTTATATCATCAATTTATTCACTACTATCACATATGGAAATGTGAAATGTGAAAAAAATTCAGATCATTAAACAATTAAACTAAAATAATACGGTTTTCCGAAATTTAATTTTCTTAAATAGGCGTGGCCATCCAAGGGCGTGGTTCTCAACATCATCAGAACTTAAAACCCACATTAAACGAAATAGCTTCATGACATTTATATTTGAATAACGAATCTTAAACAGCTAACATTACTCCTTCATACTAAAAAAGCCGATTCTAGATATTTTACCTGTATAAGAAACCAATAAAATATGGGCGTGGCCGGTGGGGACCGAAGATGGAAGAGTTGGAAGCTGAAATTTTTTTGTGGTCTTTAAACCTAAGCATCAACAGATAAGAACATACTCATAATTATTCAAGGACATTTTGTTTTTTTGAACCGGTCTAACTTACATAGACGTGAATATCTTGAATATTTATCGAATAATGATAATCTCAAATTTCAAGACAAATTAATGTCAATTAATGTCAATTAATGTCAATTAATGTCAATGTCAGTTTGGGGTTTTTATGGAATACTGACATTAATTGACGTTGCATTCCCCCCGTAAAATGGCAACAGAAATAACAAATTGGCCAAGGAATAAATTTAAGTCCCGAAAATTGTGGCCTCCAGTTCCAGTTGTTATATAATATAAAATATATAATATAATATTTATATCGTTGTCTCTTGACGCTGCTGAAGAGTTAAATGGGTTCCTACTAGTATTTACAAAAAGTGATATTTCTGACGTTGCTAAGAAGCAGTCTGGAGTTAAGTAGATTTTGCCGTAACATTTCAGTTCAAATGGCGTGGTGGTCACTTCATGGAAATTTCTCCAGACGACATCGTTTTCTAGCATTCAGTGACGAAGTTATTTAGTATAATATGCTTAAATGAGGAGACTACTTATTTCGATCGTTTATTATAACGTTGAATTTCCTAAAAATAAACAATTCAACCGGTTTGACAATTATGGCGAGCGTGCTAAATCACTCTACAGTCGATCTTCGAAATTGTTCTGACAGTTGAAACCAACTTGAATCGATGTATTTTCGGACGCTGATTCCGAATCAACCCCCATGACATAGGGTTAAAATGCTCCTCTTAAAAAAGAAATGCTCTCTTATTTGAAAATAAATCTTTTGGTAGTGGTCCTTAAATTATTCTATCCTCTATGCAGGGACTAGTATACTCACTAACAGTTGGGGCCTCACAACCCCCCACACCCGAGTGCTTTCCATCCTTTTGTGAACTAGTGTTGTTACTACTTTTCATGGTTAAAATTTTTATTGAAATTTTTATTGGAGTTTTAACCCCATCTTATTTTTATAGGTACTGAGGATGGACGAAAATATTTTACCGATGTTATAAAGATTTTGCTGGACATTTTTAGAACTCATTCGTTGTTTGATTGCGGGAAAAATTGATCTTGATCTTAAAATGCTCCCCTGGCAAGATATTGGCGAAAAACTGTCTCGATCACGTGATATGACCGTATAAGGAAGTTAGTCTAATTTCTCGTTAGGGTTAGGGTTTCAGCATATGCTTTTGTTAAGTAATGGGTTAGGGTTAAGGTTGGGATCAGATTAGAGGGTTAAAGTTATGAATAGTCGTTCAGGGCCAGCTAGAGAACGGGTTGAAGAACAGTCGAGTGTAGAGTGATTAATCATCATCCCAATTATGGTGCTAAATTGGAACGTATCACGTACATTAAACTGGGAGGGACTGCTCAACAGAACCAAAAGGTGAAGCGAATAAAGCTACAAACAGTGATTTTCGTGTTCAGAGAAATTGCACTTGCAACATTACCGCACTTTTATCATTGACTACTGCTACTGCAAACATTCCACCACTTTAGATACTAGATTTATAACCGCAGGTTGTCCAGTTTGCGAGCCTTAGATAAAAAGGAAAAAGGGAAATAGGCTATTTCAACGTAAAATTTAACACAATATCGGAAAATAATGGTCGAATTCCATCACGAAATTTACATGGTTTATTAACAAAATTCATTTCAACAAAATTTAAGTGGTTTTTGACAATAAACTTAAAATAATTGTCCTTTATTAACGATGTTTTTGTCTACATAACTTACAAAGGATTACTTACAAAGGATAAATTAAAGGTAGCAATTTTTGCAATATACCCTTATTAAGAGCTGAATATAACGAGCACCAAGACAAACTAGACTACAGAAAATGTCATGTGGTCATGTAACGAGCAACAAGACAAACTAGACTACAGAAAATTGTCATGTGGTCATGTATTAAAGTCTTCTTTATTTCTAATAAATCCTAAACAACTCGGTGGATTGCTCCAATAATATAGACACAGTTGCACATTGCACGATGAACATTACGTCTCCAATTGTTTTCATTTCAGATCTTTGTGGAAAAAGGTGCAGTAAATACTAAATATGCATGTATTGGAGGAAATCCTCAAGCGATCATTACATAAAATTAAAAAAGTGTATCAAATCCATACAGTAAAGTGGCTTTATCAGTCTAATAAAAAAGGTAACTGTCAGGACAAACTGACAGTGACCATGGGCCCCTGAGCCAGGCTGTTAATCTAAAGTAATAAAGGTATCAACAGGGGAACCAAATGGTCGAACATTCAAATATGTAATATGAACGAAAAATGCTTTAAAATGCTCATTTTTGAGAGCTAATCCGTTTTTTTCATTCAACACGTGACTATTAACACGTAATATTCCCTACCGTGACATGTCAAAGTAGGATTCAAGAAATGTGTTGCTCAAAAGTCATACTCATAGCAGCATCCACAATAGTAATGTCGAATAAGCCCCTCCTAGATAATGAATTTACAAATTCACAAAGTCTTTGACAAACTATAACAATAAAGACATTTCGATTAATATTCGCTAATGTCCCATTTTGTAATCATTAGCTATCTGATGATCACAACTAGGAAAGTAGGAAGGGTTCTCAAATCGTAGGAGGTATCCTAGCACTCATTGGTTGAATATTACACTGTTATTTTAACATGAAAATATGAATATAAATTAATTTCTTACTAGGATCTGAAATTTATGGGAGATGACGGTATCTAAATTGTGTTTATCACTGTGTTCATTATTAGTAACATAATGTAAGGATTAAATTAAGAAGTTAAGATAACTCTCTGATGGAATTAATTCTTCACAGAGATCTAAGTTAGGAATGATTGGAGTACGTACTTGATACTGTTGTCCAGAAGCGATCCCTGCCGAATCTACATAAAGTAACATAAAGTAAATATGGTATGTCTGGAACTCAATTTGTGACCACATGACATGTTATCACAACATTTTACTTTGCGTGTGAATGTACGCTCAGAATGTGTGGCTGCATACAGATAATTTAATTTGCGATCTTATGACCCACCCTGAATATTGCACATTCAGAGCATAATTTGTAAGGACACCTCTAATCCATATTACTCAGAGTCTTTGTAATAAACCTTCTGAGCCCGTTATCTTCTGTTGAAGTAATGCAACGTATAAATTAAACTAACAGCAGCGTGTCAATATCTAAAATATACAAACTCCACGCAAAAACTCACTTTTATCAAAGCCCTTGCCAAAGTCCTTGCTGGTATATATACGTACTGTGTCCACCGTATCATAAATCTGGGCACAGTTCGCACAGTCATAGTCACCGACCAGGGGTTTATCCTTTGAACTGATAAATATTAGATGAGGCATGACGGAAGTAATCAACGTGTTGAACATTATAACCTAAGTTCATTAAGCACATTTGGTATTGACTAACACCTTGCATGCATTTCATTGCCAGTGTACTCACACTTCACTTTAAAAATATTTCTTTGATAGCTTTAACGTTTAAATACTTAAGCTAACCTAATAAAAGCAGTCAAGTCGGCTTTCGCAGATTCTGCAAGAATTGGAGTAGTAACAAATGGCTTTTCTTTCTTTGCAATATACAGACTTGGGTAGGCAACAACCAAAGTGGGTTTAGATACCTGAGGAGTTTATTTAAATATCATTGATATTAAAAACGTTTCTTTGAATTCTTTAAGTCCAACGGTAATAAAGCTCAATTTAAAACAGCAAATAAAATTACTGGAATCACGAAAGTCTTATTCCATACCTTGAATACTTTGGAAGCAAATGAGGCATCGAAAGAGTGGCTGCAAGAGTAGGAGCTCCTAAAGTCGTTCGTAAGCTCTTCGAATATCTGATACTCGATAGAATCCTTGTTTGATCCAGGGAACAGACCAATAACTTTAATTGTGGTCGGTTTTTCAGCCTGAGAGACAAATCCTCAATTATTAAATCTTGAGAGATACTTTATACCGTCAAATTCCGATACAGTTCATTAGTTTAATTACTAATCACCACACCAAACATTTGCCGAATTCAAATTTGTAAAGTAACGTAATGTAAAGAAATTGAGCCAACCTCTCTTTTTTGGGAGCTTGCCGTGATTTCTACAGTGTGAGGATTCTTCTCGACCTTCATTGTGGACACAATATCAGGAGCAGTTCGGCCACCCTTAAATTCACTGACTTTACCATTTCGGAATATCTTGAGACTGGGGTAACCTGTGACGTCAAACCTTTTGGCCAGATCTTTCTCTACAGTAGCATCAACAGTGGCCAAGAGAATTCCTTCAGGTTTCAGTTGTTGGGCAGCTTTTTCGAATTCTGGTTTTAGTTTCTTGCAATGTCCGCACCTGTATGATTTTAAATCGAAATTAAATATAAACAGGTGTTTACCATAATAACAATAGTATAACTATAAGAGATAATTCACATATTACAACATAAGCAAGGCTTGTATGGATCCAGTCCATCTTTGCTTGCAGTCATTCAGAAACCTGGTCACTAAACAGACAAGGAGATTAAGTGGCTCATGCTACACTATCACGCCAGATTGCTCAAAACTGCAAAGAGCAGCCAACTAAGTCACCCGACGTGCCAATTTGGCGATCGCAGCAGCCCAATGGTGGGAGAAATATATAATATGGGAGCCGGCCTCTTTGGAGCTGCATATCTGCTAACACTATACTTAACCATGAAGCGAAACTTAGTGGACAAAATTTAAGGCAAACTTAGTGGCGAAATCTTCCTACTAAGATCCCCTCCCCCTCCCCCCTGCTAACCCCTACATTGAAACATGCAGTGCATTAAAATCACCTAATTCTATCATCGTTATTGGGGTCTACAGCAGTAGAAAATGGTTCGATGGGGAGCCTGAGAATAAGAAAATAATCTTACTGATGTAATTTTGCTCTTTTATCCAGCTTTAAATCAAGAATGAACTCAGCCACTGTTAGTGTTTCCAAACCCTCCCCCTAGGCTGCTCACGCAATATGTGAATGATCTCTATTATATTATATTAAATAGGTTACACAATAAACTTTAGTGTTAATTTTAATATCATAAGTTGTTTGGCGAAAAAACCGTCACTTACCATGGTGCAAAGAACTCCACAAGCATCATCGGTTGATTATTAACAATTTCTTCAAAGTTATCAGTTGTCAGTTCAATGACTTCAGATTTTGGAGGAGCCCAATTTGAATCTGATAACTCCTTCATCTTCTCTACTATTTCAAATGTACTTCTTGCCCCTTCATAATCAATAGGCTCATCAACTCCTTTTTTAAAGATCTTCAGAGTTGGAAACCCTTGAACTCCATACTTGTTGCCACTTTCTTGGTGTTCATTTGCATCAATTTTTGCTAGGACCCCGACTGATCCTGCTTGTTTAAGTTCAAAAGCAGCAGCATCGTATTCGGGGGCTAACTTCTTGCAGTGACCACACCTGATGAACGATATTAAACTTTAAGTCAAACTATTCGAGAATCAATGTAAACAAGTTCATAATTCCTATTATCAGAATCAACAAAAAATCGTTATTTACTCTATTTTATAAAATCTTAAACTTAATACCATTAAATAATTTGACCATAATATATAGGATCTTGTATTGGTGGGAATTTGGTGTCGATTTGTTTGGACATACCTCAGATACTTAACCGATTAGCTTGCAGCTGTAGCAGGAACCAAATTAAATATTTAATTATAATATTGCAGCAGCTACTTATCTGCAGGATACATGATGCCAGTTGAACTTGTACCATGTTATGATTTAAGTTGAAATTAAAGTATAAAATCGACCAGTTGTCATGCTTACCATGGAGCATAGAATTCAACCATAACAAGTTCCTGAGACTTGACAAATCCTTCGAAATTTGTGGGATTCAGTATATAGACTCCATTTTCAGTCTTGACTTCAGGGTCAATGTCTCCTTCTTCTTCTGGTGGGTCGATAAGGTCTGTCTCTCCTGTAAATCAGAATTTACAATTATCAAAATCTACACTTACAACTCCTGGGCCAAATTTTTTGAGTGTTATTAGGATGGGTCTATTTTACAGATATAATAACATACAGGTTCTCATTCTAGCAGCATTTTTGAAATAATACAAAACGACAGTTGATTTTTTTAAACATACCTTCTTGAGATGCTATCAGCCACACCGAGAGTAGTAAGATCGTAATACTCTTCAACATATCGAGCTAAATGGGATAACAGTGAGTTTATCTGGTGCTATGGCTTGAAATGCTAATAAATGACAGAAAGTGATAATACAGATTCATCACATACAGCTGGACCTGGAAAAATCGTCAAAAAATGAGGTCAAAGATTTTCAAAATCGAATTAAAAATTTTCTGAGGCCTATCTCAAAAATCGGCTCGATACTTCTCTTCTAAATGATCCCTAGAACATATCCTGAAAGTTTCAGGGTGATTGCTCAAAAAATGTAGGAGAAGATAGATTTTTAGACTCGATTTTCAGGACGCGCGATTGAAAATCGCTCGCGCAATACAATTACACATGAGCGCTGACCTTTGACCAGCGATAATTTCGGCTAGGAACAATATTTTTCCATGGGACCAATAGCAGCTGATAGATATCACTCCCCTCTATCAGAAACAACTATAAAATCAATTTCGAGAGAATTTTGATGAAGACCCCCCCGGCCCCCTTAAGAACAACTTCTTTACCTGCACATGAGGGTTCTTAGTATTTAAATTTAAAAAGGCCTCAATAGACTTCTATATGCCTCTTCTTTTCCTTCAGTAGATTATAAAAAAGCACTGTTAATTGGGTATGATAACCTCAAATCTCAATTGCATGCCGGGTGTCATTGTTTCACAGCTTGACAAGAACATTTACTGTTGGTATATTTTTTAACCAATTTGTGTTGTTACTAGAAGTGTTACTTAATTTAGAAAAAATTACTCAAAGTTAGAAAGTATATATAACTCAATCTTTTACCAAGCCATATGCACTTCTGAGAGAGTAGATTTAGTCCTACGAACTTCTCAGAGATAATATCAGTCTCACACCCATCAACTTGAGCTTGAGATAATTATGGAAAACAAAATTTAAGGTTCAAACAAAATTGTTTGTTGAGCAGCTTCTGGGAGTGCAGAACTGGAATTGCATCATGTGATTAAATAGTGTTGGAGTGAGCATTATTAAATTAAGCTTTTGTGATTTCTCATTTCTGTGGCCCTGTCAGCTTATCTGATTTACCGAAAAATTCAAGATTCGCATAAAAATTGTTTAAAACATTTTAAAATCAGTCCCAGAGTTGGGATGGCCTGATGTGCTTATTTCTTTTTCTTTAACCCTGAGCACTTTACTAGCTGTATGGAGGTTAGTTCTACAAGCCAGGGAGTGCAAGTGTGCACCAATGCTGTACTAATTTGCAGCTTGCTGACTGACTGACTTGCATCAGACCAGGTTTGAACCCGCGAACTTCTGCATGAGAGGTGATCATGTTGCCACTTCATCACCCAGGAGGTATTTGGCTATACCATTCTATTAATGTTTTATAGTGAAACTATGGTTTAAGATGCAATTTAAAACGAAAAACAGTTGTTCGCAATGGTTACTAAAATAAACTTTTTCCAAAAAATATAATTACGGTAGTACACACTACACAGCCCATACCGAATTATCTGCTAACGAAAGAGTTCAGCTATGAAAACCTCATTCACGTCATATCGACACTATGCGATAAAGATTTTTGTTGAAACATAATCCAGAATAGCTATACACCACCACAATAGATTTAGCAATCAGTGTGCAAAATAACTGGCCCATGGCCAATCATTGTTGCTCTGTTTTTTTACATTTTAGCTTTGAAGCGTTCATGTTTGAGCTTAAGTGCTTAACATTGGGGACATAGTTGATAGCTATTGACGCACACAGCTGGATAAACTTTCCATGATAAGTCAAAACTACCATTAAATAGTAAACTGGTACAGAGGCGGCTCGTGGGAGCTGGCTGCCAGTTTTGTTGGGTGTCCGACCGACTGGGGGGCCGCCCCAAGCTCCCCCCCCCCCCCCTCCCCCCCCCCCCCTAAGAACCGGCGGTTTTCTACCTATTAACCGATGACTGCATACAATACCATTACCATAGCAGAGAGTTAATTAATTAATTAAATTATTCCAACGTACATTACAGTTACACACAGGCCACAGTGCCTCATGTATGTAATGTGTCACAGGCGAAGCAAATAATTAAAAACAAAAACTTATAACATGAGTGAAACAGGACACACACGTGTACGATCTCAGCCGCGCGGTATCATAACAGTTCAGATTGCAAGGTGGCCTGGACAACCAAATCATATAGATTACCTGTAGTAGATGCGCTTGATGTGCTTTGAACCCGTTTACAATTAACTATGTGTTAAAACTGCGCATCTTAGTTGTCCAAACGAGGATTGGACACCGGACACCCTACAACACAAAATTTCACAAAGATCATGCGTGCGCTTACATTCGAACGTTTGAATGAATAAAGAGCTTTATATTGCGGTTCAATAAGTTAATAATTTAAATCTAGCCACCAGATAATAATTTTAGGGCGTCCACGGACGCCTGGACGCTCTCAACAGCCGCCTCTGAACCGATAATAATAAATGATTCAACAAATCGTTTAATACAGTAATACTTCATTGTATTGATGGCACTCTTAATACATATGACAAGTACCATGTCTATGCTTACTTCAGTAGCTACAAACATTTTGTAGCGCGATGCACTACTGGGTCGCGCGCGCATCAAATAATGCTTCTCGCAACCACAGTAGTGTGCAAACCAACATTCGAACCACCAGCAGCTGGTGGTCAATTTCCTACGAACGCGACTTAATTTTGGTTCAGACTGGAGTCGAGCGCTACGTTATAGCTGTATATATAGCTCGTTTCACGACGAAATCTTCATTTATTGAGTTTGTCTGTCGATTATGTTGGAGTTTGTATTTTTAATTTTGTACTCGAATACTGTTAATTTATTTTTATTAAATAGTTGTTTTTCGTAACAGCACACTAGTACGTGATTCCTTTTGTTATTCTTACATAATTAGGAAGATTTTAAACTTCAATACTATAAATAATCAAATATTTACGAACACCGATCATCGGTATGTACCCATTATGCATTATTGGTATCGAAGTCTTATGTTGAGCTGGATATCGAAAAATTTCAAAATGTAAGGCTGTAATTTTGTACTTGTTTAGGTGTAGAACTAGGATTAACAACTTGATTGCTAGGAGCTAGGAAGAGATTTTAGTAATGATGACCCTTTAAACTTAAACTATATCTCTAGTGCACTTCGATCGGTTTTCTTTTCAATTTTGATAAAACCTAGTCGTGATCTTTGTTTCAGAACTTCACTAATTTATTAAGTTTTGTAGTTTATATAGACGGAACATGAGCAGATACCATTTGATTAATTATAATATTTCCGATTTGAAATATTATTCTGTCGGAGTTTGAGTTCAACATGGACACATTTATTAACATCCCGCATGAATTTGTGTCGTCTTTACAATTTTTTGCGCTGAATTTGTATGCTTATTAATACTGCCGCATGATATCAGTAGCTGCTATAAAACTAGATTGTATAGCATGTGTATTATACGATGTTTCCCACGTAAAAATCGCAGGTTGTTTTGGTGCGGCTGGGCACTCTACTGGTGATTGACACCAGAGACTGAGAAAAACTTTGACATAATTTTCAAGTTTGATATGACCTAATAACTACCACATTTACAGGAAGTATGGTAATACATTCTTGTCAGCTGTCTGGGCAAATCTTCTCTCGCAGAATTGGATTAAAATTTAATGTATTTTATTTCTCACTTCCAACGATGTCGCAATTATTAGGTAAAATTTGAAGTTATTTTGAGATTCAATTAATAAATTTTAGATTGCAGCTTGATATCACTTAGTATGTACATTGTACTCGGTTGCAAGGGTAGAACTTATGAGAATACTATCATAGTATTATTGCACTATACTATTATGGGTTCATCAAAGTTCGTATCATGATTTGTCACAATTAAACCATCGAGTCACTTGAGGAAACCCGTTAAAGCTCGCAATTGGCGACGAGATAAAGTTTGTGGTACCTCTAGATGTTAAGTTAACTCTTAGGCTCCAATCTTCCTTACTATACCTACCACTCCTTCTTCCTTGATAAGAAGTAGATCCATCTGGAACAGTGAGCTGCTTCTTCCCTTCTATCCCGTACTAGCCTACTCAGCTCTCTCCAAACCGTGAACAACTACTCCCGGTGCTAGAACTTTAACCGCATAATTATAACAGCACAATTCTTTCGCTTGAATCTCAGTCTGCTGTAAGACTGCTGAATCACTTGTATGATTCAGCAATCTGCTCTTTAGATGGTACCGTTACCTCCCGCCATAAGACTGTGCCGTCTTGGTGACCTTGAGAATATCATAAGGTCCGATATATAAAAGCACTATCCAATATCGAGACCCACTCAGGATCCCAAACCACGACTCCTTTCGGTCGTCTGTACTTGCTTTTTTCCTCCCAGCATGGACTAAGTCAATGATACTGTCTTACATCGCTGGCCTTGTTCTTATAAGTGTTCACTCGGCGCTCACAAGATAACATGTTCAGAGATCTGTTGCAGAACCTTGTCGTGCCGTCATTTATATACTCCTTGACTAAGAGCTACTTTACACCTACAGCAAAAATGTGCTAAATGATACCCATCCTCTCCTCACATTACTGTACTTGCACTTACCATCCTCATCTTCGCCATAGAGGTGGTTAAGAGGGTGACGTACACAGCATCTAGCACGAATCCAATAAGTGAGTCTACAGTGCGTGTCGAAATACATTGCATGTACCCTTATATATTAATTGAGACAGAATTTTAATAAATCAACAAATTCTTAAAATTTAAAAAGGTAGAATTTAATTCTATGGCATTTATTGAAACCTGCTTTTTTAAAGTTGAGAATTGGTTTCAATTTCTAGAATATCACGATAATGTTGACTCAAAACTGTTTCAGGCAGCTATCAAGTCTCAAGATATGACATAATTTGATAGAATGTTAGTACCAACGCTATCAGTGCATTGAAGTCGAGTTCTCGATACAGGTATTATAATTAGGTTCTATCGACCGTTTTTGTAGTCTTAACTCATTTTTATTTGTTATTATACGACCAATTAAAACCTAGCAAACCAGACTTCTTTATGTGCTAAATGTTACTTTAACCTTAATAATAGCAGCATTGTGGCAGATATCCAGTTACATTTTTTCCAGCCGTATATTATAAATATACAGGGTGGGCCAAAAGTCAGTGTGCAAACGTTGGCATTAATAGCTCAGTCACTGAGTGCCCAATTGAAATAATTGGTTCTGGTATGACTTACTACCACCACTGGTTCGAGAAATTTGTCAAATCGAAACATATTTGTGTTCATTGTTTTCAAAAGAAGGTTCATTTTCGCATTTATTTGATAGTTTGGATAATCGGATCGAGCCAAATTTTATTGAATTGTGTTTAGCCATTTAAATTACGTTTGCTCTAAAAAAATGAGAGTTTATATATAGAGAGTATATATATATTACTCATGCAACTAAGATAAATTGAGTATAAATACTCAATTTATCTTAGTTTAAGTTCCAAGTTATATAACTCATTTTCTAAAGGTCTCGTAAACTTTAATCAATTTCAGAGGGTGTGGCCTCTTTTTCACTGAAAAGACGCCATCAGATTTCATTGCATTCTGGGACCAATTTTGGTGTGATTTAAAGTATCCTACAAATTGGTGTTTACTGTTTCGACTTTTGTAAAATCACTGTAACAATATAATCTGTATTCTTATAGTTTCAACCATAATAGTGAAATAGAGGGGCTGGCCAATAGCCACACCCTCTGTAATTGATTTAAGTCTACGAAACTTTCAGAAATTTGTGTGTAATTCGGAGATAAATTAAACAAGTTGTTATCGGCCACCATGTGTAAACGGAATGTTCTAGCAGACTGTATAATACTATAACATACATTTTCTTACACACACATAATCTAATCTCTGGAATGTTGCTATGATATCTATGGCAATGTTTTGATACTGTGTATTATCATGATTATGCCTTACAGGCCGATCTTCCGATGGAGTTTCGGTTGCCATGGCAACACATCAATATGATAAAGAATTTGTAAATGCAGTCACAACTCTGTCGTGTACACTGTACGGTGCGAGCGGTTATTTTATGATAGGTAACATCTACTTTTTCAGCATTTGCGGGATGACCAGTTCACACGTATATTTTCGCAGACACAACTTCGCATAAAATTATATCCAATTATTCTATAACCAATTATCTACACGGACTTCTGTCTAAATATGAATGAAATCGAGAAAACCAAATATTATATGTTTCATCCTGAAGTGCAGTGCTGAGTTCTCAGGCAGTAAAATCATGATCCTGATAGATATCGAAGTCTCCTTAAATGATTGTCTCTGCTGCTTAATATATCTGGATTGTCGTTGGGAGGCGATGCAGATTTGTTTACTTTTAAGGGGGAGGTTCTGCTCAGCAGGAGAAAGAGGTGATGCACATTTTGTATTTGTCTGACATGTAGGACTTGAGCCACGTTTCCGTAAGTGCAATAAACGGTAACGAGTGGTTTTTGGATTTCTCCTGAATAAGAGCTGAGATTTTTGGCACTTCCCATATACTCGCACTTGATGCACAGGATTCATGGACTGGACATTTAAGACGAGGCATGAGGAATAACGGGCACGTGCAGTGTATCCTCTGAGGCGGTAGGAACTGCTGGTAGTGGTATAGTGGGTAGTATATATATATTACTCATGCAACTAAGATAAATTGAGTATAAATACTCAATTTATCTTAGTTTAAGTTGCAAGTTATATAACTCATTTTCTAAAGGTCTCGTAAACTTTAATCAATTACAGAGAGTGTGGCCTCTTTTTCACTGAAAAGACGCCATCAGATTTCATTGCATTCTGGGACCAATTTTGGTGTGATTTAAAGTATCCTACAAATTGGTGTTTACTGTTTCGACTTTTGTAAAATCACTGTAACAATATAATCTGTATTCTTATAGTTTCAACCATAATAGTGAAATAGAGGGGCTGGCCAATAGCCACACCCTCTGTAATTGATTTAAGTCTACGAAACTTTCAGAAATTTGTGTGTAATTCGGAGATAAATTAAACAAGTTGTTATCGGCCACCATGTGTAAACGGAATGTTCTAGCAGACTGTATAATACTATAACATACATTTTCTTACACACACATAATCTAATCTCTGGAATGTTGCTATGATATCTATGGCAATGTTTTGATACTGTGTATTATCATGATTATGCCTTACAGGCCGATCTTCCGATGGAGTTTCGGTTGCCATGGCAACACATCAATATGATAAAGAATTTGTAAACGCAGTCACAACTCTGTCGTGTACACTGTACGGTGCGAGCGGTTATTTTATGATAGGTAACATCTACTTTTTCAGCATTTGCGGGATGACCAGTTCACACGTATATTTTCGCAGACACAACTTCGCATAAAATTATATCCAATTATTCTATAACCAATTATCTACACGGACTTCTGTCTAAATATGAATGAAATCGAGAAAACCAAATATTATATGTTTCATCCTGAAGTGCTGAGTTCTCAGGCAGTATAATCATGATCCTGATAGATATCGAAGTCTCCTTAAATGATTGTCTCTGCTGCTTAATATATCTGGATTGTCGTTGGGAGGCGATGCAGATTTGTTTACTTTTAAGGGGGAGGTTCTGCTCAGCAGGAGAAAGAGGTGATGCACATTTTGTATTTGTCTGACATGTAGGACTTGAGCCACGTTTCCGTAAGTGCAATAAACGGTAACGAGTGGTTTTTGGATTTCTCCTGAATAAGAGCTGAGATTTTTGGCACTTCCCATATACTCGCACTTGATGCACTAGGATTCATGGACTGGACATTTAAGACGAGGCATGAGGAATAACGGGCACGTGCAGTGTATCCTCTGAGGCGGTAGGAACTGCTGGTAGTGGTATAGTGGGAGCGCTGTTCCTGGCTGAAGAGGTGGATGTGGTCTGGGGTAGTGGTAGGGCATTTGAGTTTGAGGGAGGCTGGACCGGTGGTCGACTATTTCTGATAGGAGTCCGATCCTGGTTTGCATCGTTTCCAACAGTCTCCGTAACTATAACAATCCTGTGATCTGGTATTGGTTACTTAAACTTATTTAATTGAACATGGTGTTTGACGTTGGAGCTTATCACTTTACAGTTTACATCACCTTACCTGAATAATTGAATAGGATGAATACTGAATAGCATTTATTAATGCTTTCTTTACCCGGAGAACTCTGTTTTACTTGTCCCTCGGTAACACAAGACCGTGAGCCGTGACACTTAGTCACAATAATTAAGTCATAAGTCAGAAAGAAGTCCATAATTCGTACACCCATGATTATGTTAAATATAGATTGACTCCAGTCTCCATTGTTCAATGACTTCGTCAAAATGTTTTAGGAAAATGTTCACAGATTTGTTAATTTTGGACTCAAATTAACGTTGAGAAAAACTGAATTTATTTTGGAAAAATCCCGGCTAAAACCAAAATCCCGGCCGGTACCGGTACAAAATCGCCAAATACCAGCCGGTATTCCGGCTGCGCCGGTTATATCCCGGTCGAGTTCTGTCTGAGACCTAATTTTCTCTATTTCTCGTGCAATTTTAGATCAGACACAGTCATCTAAATTATTTAATAAAAAGGTTTAAATTATAAGCAATTAAAAACAGTTGGGACTATCATTGTTTGTGAGTACATATTATACGAATATAAGGTGGTTAATATAATTATAACACATTTAATATAAAACATTTAAGACACATTTTTTTATTCCTGCATTGTACTCATTAATTTAACTAGTAATATTATATAAAAACCACATTTCTATTTGTACAGGGAGCTGCTGGTAAACTACCGTCGCTATACATCGACTATGACTACAATCCTACTTTTAAAAACAAACTACATACATATCTCACATTTTCGAGGACTACTTCATCACAAGCAAAAAATCGACATTGGTAAATAAAGGTAGGTTCTTTTCACTAACTTCGTTAAATGAGTTACATATTTTCACACAAATTACGTGCGTGATCATTAAAGGGTTGCTTGTGTGCAGTTACTTCTGGGCCAGCGCCACCCTGTTGGGAGTTTTCACATAAGTAAATTTGCCGATAATACAATTTTACTCATTCTGGACATGTTACCTATATTATCATTATACTAGTATTTCTTCAGGTCTGTCTTCTATAACCACGATGAAAAGAAAAGCTGGGCGAAAACATTTGAGACTGCAGATTGCAGAACTGGAACACTCTATTTGAAGACAGTGGCTGCTGAGTGCTGAGCTGCATCAAATCTATCAGCATCATGTAACTTCGATCAGGAACAGACTCCATTTCATTTCCGACAACTAGCACCTGTTTTCCCTAGACTTACCAAGTATTAAGTAACTGCATTAGTATTAGGTTAAATTAAAGGCCCTACATCGAACAAGTCTAACAATTAAAACTTAAATGCAAGAGTGCACAATTTATCACTAAATATCTTCCTCTTTTAATTCTAATCAACACACGGTTTCGTCTTTGTTTCACCCAATCGTGCTGATAATCAGTAATCATGCACTCTGCACTCTAACTTCGAGATGTTTCAAAAGGGCTCCCGACGAGTTGAATTAGATCAATATTTTCTTTTGATACATAGATACTGATTGGGAGGTTCATCATACTATTCTTGTCACATGGTAACGATTAACGATTAGCTGATCAGCTTCCAGCATCGACAGGCCGAAATCCATAAATATAATCAGTTGTAATTTAATATTTATCATCGTCCGGATCATCATAATATTTTAATTTAAAGTTACAATTGAACGGTGTTAAGAAAGATAATTTAAGAGAAATGTTTTGAAAGTGCCTGATTTCGAGTATAAGATCTGTACTGATACATTAATTTTCAGATTGTTATTATAGTTTATTTGTATTTTTTATATTATCTTATCCGGACAAGTTCGGAAGCCATCTGAACGCTATTGCCAGACACAGGCATATATTTATTTTGGGGTATCATGCTCTCAGAAATTTCAACTCAGTCCGATATTATAGTTATACTAACCTGCATTGCATAAGGTTAATTGTCTCGCAGTCTAGTGCATAAACCTTTTATTTTGTATAAACCCTTTATTTTGATTGGGAAAACTTTATTTTAATGTGGTTACCGTCTCTAAAGTTGGCATGATAGTTAATAAACTCTTATCTATTATGTCACTGAAGATGACGCCTTGCAACATGTTTGACGATAGCCTGTAGATTGATAGTTTGATCTAAGTATTTACAACAATTCATCTAGTTTGATTGATTCAAAGGGAAACAAATTCCTCTCTTATCTATTATGACTATTTAAATTCAATCCTGTAAAGTGATACTCCTTTTTTAGTAATTTAAACATGTGTTTTCTCCTTCTGATTTTTAAACTATTACCGGTCACGCTGAATAATAATGACATCAGTGAATTTAAAGCTATCGTTAACATCACTCAGAAAATGCGCGTCTTTAGCGCGTGTCTTGTTGTTATGCATCAATCCTTCGGTAGATCGGCGAGATGCACCACTGTGCCTCACCGAGCTGCGAAGGATTGACATCGTGAATCAACAAACATTAAACATAAAATAATTACGAATCCTATAAAAATAAAAATAAAATATTAAATTTAAATAGACATTAACGTTTGCAGTGACATGAGCACCTAAAATTTAATGTAATGTGTAACAAATTTGGAAACTGTATTCCAAATCGTGGCCGTGTTATTTTATTCAATTTTTAAAATCATATAACAAAAAGGTTTTCATAATTCATATTAATTTCTACCCTGATTGCTGATTTTAAAAAAATATTTGTTCATTTTTTTACTAAACACATAATCAATAACATCATTACCATTATCATAATTACTAAATCTATTTTTAAAATGAAATAAGCAATGAAAGAAGCAATGAAAACAAATTGCACGTTACTGGGCCGCGCTCAGCCTGTCATTCCGCCTAATCTCATTTAACAACATTAAAGCCTGGGGTCCTCAGGTAAATCGCACGCATTGTAATAACTTTTTTCTTTTAAACTTTATATATTATGAATCGAGTTACTGGGCCGCGCTCAGCCTGTCATTCCGCCTAATCTCTGTTGTTTACCAACATTAAAGCCTGGGGTCCTCAGGTAAGAATCGAGATCAAATCTTTTGCAATGTATTTAGAATCAATATATGCATTTATATAAATCACTTGAAATGCTTTTGAAAAAGAATAACAAGCTCAAAGATGCTATTGTCTTATTTCTCCGTAAAAAGCACAATAGCGTGAGTAGCTTTTGTCGAACTACTTCGAAAGTAATCTTATACGATTCCCTGTTCAATTTTGGTTGAAGCATGTAAACTTATTGCAAATTAAAGGAAGTAGGCGCGCCACAAACAATAAATAGTGAACATTGTTCATCGAAATCGAGCGCTGCAAAAGTTTTTTTCTAAATTTTACCTGGTTACGTGATTAGTTTTGTCTTACTGCAATTTAACCTCTTTATATTATGATGAATGTTGTTAATGATACGAAATAAAATTGCCTCAAAATCTTATTTTGCACATAACTCCACTTTTGGCCTTATTTTGGCCACTTATACTTTTCATAAGTCCATCGGTTTTTCTTTCGGATTTTCTTCCTCCATACTAAATGAATCTTGTAATCGGACAGGGAGTGCAATTATAATTTAATGTTTCGAGAACAACTGAAAACATAGTTAGTGCTGTTACAAAACTAAACTAAAGCTATACTGTAGATAACACTAATTTCTACAAACCACAGAATATTAAATATAAAATGTGTCCAGTATGGCGCAAATGCATAATTTGATAATTTTTCGACGCCGTCGTCGGGGTGAGAGTTATCTGAACCAACTGCATGCCCCTACGATTGCGTCACCACTGGTGAGCAAGCATTTGTTTTTTGTTTAGTTGTGTTGAAAGGGAACATTACTTGATTAATTCATCCATTCGAATTTTAATAACGATGAGCTATGATATACCGTTCATCTTAGATTATTGGATCAATTTTATTATATGATTAGATTTTATAAACGAACTTGGCACACAAAAGATTATAATGCGGAGGTTGGCTGGCTCTTCTATAATAAATACGACACTCATATTTACAGAATGCTTGCTAGAGATAAAACAAAATATTATCAGACTATACATGCAGCATGAGTAACTGGTGGATAAGCCTTCGGTAAAAACGGATCCGGAAAAGTCAATGCGGCACTCGGGTCCTTGGTATTGTCGTCGGTATATTGTCCATTATCTACGTTCTGCTTTCATAGTTTAAACAATAGTGAGTTCTAAATATACAGCTTTAAACCAATTAAGTATGAATGAATGAAATACCTGACAATCCGCACTCCTATAATTCAAAAGCATGAGTAACTCGTAGTGATCATGTGATCGCCGCATGAGGTTCTGTAAATGCGCAGGGCACCTTCAAGCTTAAATTATTCACCTTACTGAGGCAGTCAACCAACGCGCGGCTTTATTTTTATGATATGATATGTTTTGATTGTTATTAATAAATACCAAAATTTAAATTTATTTTCCTAAAATTTGTTTTCCTAATTGTACTGATTTTCAGAAAGTCTGAATATCGTGTTTCGCAATTTGCTGCCTATTCGCTATCATAAGTTTACATCACTTGCAAGAGTGTAATAAAATAGCTCAATAATGTAGTGTCAATAGAGAGCCACGTGTGAGTCACAGAACTAATCATCATGACAGATGCAGCTCACGTACCAACGTATTCACTGCTCCAAGACTCTATAAGGCTTAGTGTGACCAACCGCTGTTTTTTCTTTTGTTATTAAAGAGCCACACGCTGAGGCTACGAGGGCGGGGTGACGGTTATCCATCGAAACTCGCACTTCGTGTGAGTCACATGCAAAGAACAAATCAACTTGACAGATGCAGGTCAGGTGCCGACGTATTCACTGCTCTGAGACCCTAAATTGAGGCTTAATGTGACCACTGACAAGCCGTTGTTTTTTTGCCCGATATGGCCGAAGTTGATTGTTTGTTGTTAAACAGTTCCAAGGAAATATAATCGTCAACATTATGCTATTAACAGGGCCCAATAAGTTTCTACTCGCTTGGGTCGTTAGGACCATCTCATCTGACAAGGTTGTTATTTTGATCTGTACTCTACCGACGGTCCATGTTTGTCTACTTTACCTTCTAACTTCTAAAGCAACAGATCGGAAACAGGAAAACGTTTTGTTGCCGCCGTAGAGTCCTGTTTTCTCACATTTCCACGACGTAAAGTCCTTTTTTGTATATAGTTCCACAATAGTGTCTCATGTCATAAAGTCTCACGCCGTAGAGTTCTGGACCCAAAAAATAGAGCAAAAATCCAGGTTACAGGGTACATAATAATAAGTTTGTTCAATGTTCATAGAATGATTTCAACTGCCCAATATTTATGGAACTGGTAGCAAATTAGTTCAATCCTTTATATATTTCAATGTCAGAGAAGTACTGGGCAATTGAGTTTGTTATCTAGCTGCCTGATTTAGATAACCTGTAGACCAACTTGGCTTGGACTTTTTAATTTGCTTATGACCTATATGATATTATATTCCTGACACATCAAAACAGAAAGTATCATGTTTTAAATTTAAAATAGCTTATTTATAATGTCTTGGCAACACCGAATGTGTTACATACTGTGCATTTGACAAAGCAACGTCCATCCTCAAGTGCTTTGTATTGTAGCCTTTAATTGGCAAGATTCGACCTAACATATTCTGCTTTTGTTCTTCTTACTTCTTCTGTAGTTTTCTGTTTGCATTCAAACTTTTATTTAAACCCTAATTATTACCTCATTTACTTTCATTTAAACCTAGTAAACTTGAGGCTTTGTAATTGTGGCGCTAAAGTCATTTTTATCTTTTGTCTCCTTAGAATATCATTTGGGTCTTCTTTAGACTTCAGCACACTTGTCCTTTTGTTAGCTCATTATGTTTGCTTTTGTCTATGCATTATAATGTGAAATACTTTTGTTCAAATTTACACATTAGCCCCCATCACTCAGTCAGCCGCTCTGACATGGTTAACCAGTGGCATAACGAAGGGCCCGCCAACCCCCCCCCCCCCCCCCCCCCCCCAACTGCGCGTTTTGCTCTAGAAACACACTTTTTTAGAGATTTTTTTTCAGGGAGAACAGGGGAACGCCAACAGGCAACGTTACGCCACTGTGGTTAACCACCCTCCTTATGTTGTTGGTTAATCATATGAGCGGAGGGTAAATACCTCATTTCATTGCAAAAGGTGTAAATTTGCTGTTTTTATAAATTGCATGGTTATTTGTTATAAAATTTAATGATCTGATGTTAAAACTATGTCATCAACAACTTTGAACTTGAGCAGCCTATTTTTACAGCTTTAAAATATTTCGCTATTTTGAGACTAAACCCAGATCTTGTTGATTAGATATTAGCTGCTTGCAATATGGGGCACACTCTGTCACAAACAGAATACCAAATTGAGTAAATGAATGAATCAGAGGTAAACACAACCTATAGTTTAACTTCTAGCTCGAGTATAAACCAATGCCTTTTGTCTGGGTTGGAATTTCAGTGCAAGTACCCTCGTTCTGAGTCCTTACTATTTTAAGGACTTGTTTTAACTTTAAATGAAAAGCTTGAATATTCAATTTAAAGATTACAGGAGGTCAGAGATCAGAACAACGTTTCATCTAATTATATCTAATCCGATAAATTGAACAATACAAGCTCAGTTATTGTGATACTGAAATGTCTCAATGTTTGAAAGGAATGTTATTAATGTGTAAATTCCTTATTGGTTTATATCTAGGTTTTCATCTGGTTTTCTGTTGAACTGCTATGTTTTCTATTTTCTGTTACGAAAGGTATGCATCACGATGGCGTATATATTGTACCTAGTACTACTAGATCGTATATCTGTGGGTTGAGAAGCATACTTGACGCTAGCTGATATCTGGTTCCTGGCTGCTCCTTGATCAGTGTAATGCCCAGTACGTCTCCTGTTTACACTTCCTAACAATGAATAAACAGTCTTTGTGTAGATATGAGCTCGTTTACTTCTGACCTTGACAATTATTTCTCTCTT